GTTTGTTTTCTGCAGAAAAACAGGAGAACACAGCTGAGCATCAAAGAACAATACAAGCTCTATAAAAATGCTGAAACTCAAAGCTATGCCCTTTCATGATGTCTACAGTGAACGTCTACAGATGTCTACAGTGAACGAGGCCTGATAGTTGGAATTTTGCTGTTTTTTTATGATTGAAACTGGGGTGAGGGAGTAGGTAAGAGCTAAGCAGCCTAGGGCACAGCCCTGTTTTTTGCATAAAATATTCACATTAAGTGGGACACTAGATTGTAGAGTCAGCAGGATGAGTTTTCTTAGTGAAGAACATGTACACAAACATGTAAAGGATAAGATAAATAAAGCTTGTAGCTGTGGTGAGACCAAAGCTTCATTTGTCAGACATAGTTTGACATATGACACAAAGAGCACTATGCATTGTCTAAAACATGTCAAGTCCAACACGACAGCTAATCTGTGGCTACAGCGGACATGGTGTTTGCAGATTGTTGGAAGAAGGAAACACAGCACAGAGGTTGGCTGCTACGCTGATTAATAGAGATGGGAATTTGTCCCTACCTCATGATTCAATCAAGCTCTGTATTACCCACAACGCAAAATGCACCCACACACAACGAGGGACTGGCTGGATTTTTCTTGGCTGCTCTATACAGAAACATCACCAACATACCAAACTAACAGGCGTTGCTGTGAACTGACAGAGATGCTGCAAGTCAAAAGGGAAGGTAGTCTATTGCTGTGCTGTCGGGGGATGGGGCGAGCTAACGAGCTAACATTGGCAGTGCTACAGGAGGACAAACATCTTTGTAAATATCCTTTTTTGACATTTTATATCATTTTATGAATCGTCTCAGAGAGTAAAAATTGCAACTCTAACCTGAATCCAAAATTTTTAGCCAACCTCTACTAATAAATAACAACAAAGCTGCCATCCTGAAATACAGATAACTAAAAAGTACTGACCTGATAACGTTATGGCTTCCGTGTAATGCTCAATGAAATACAATATTTTCCATGAAGTAATAATCATTATAATAATAATTTTGCACTGTTGGCACAATAGTTCTTCTGCTTTAGCGTCTCGGTCTGATTGCATCTCCATGAAGTAATGATCATAAATGTTCTTCCTTGAGTGGGTGAGTTGTGTTTGGTCTCTTTGCTAAAGAAATCAGGTAAAGCTAAAAAGATGTTTGGTGGCTAGTACTATGGCTGGGACCCTATATGTACTGCTGATGAAGTTAGGTACTGTTCTGAGCATTATTTGTAGCTATAGAGTGCCTTTTTGATTGAGATTTGCACGTGGAGACGTAGACCGCTGTGTATTGCTGTCATGCAGTCATTACTAAGGTGGTATAAGTAGAGAAGCAAGCGGTGGGCAACATTCATCTCTCAAGGCAGTGTCTAACTTGGTGGTACATTGTGTTTGACCCTAACTTATTTTTACGCCAGAATATCCCTTTAAATCTGAAACATAACCTAATCTACAGAGTGAGTGCTTTTAACAAAGGGATAACCAGGGATTGGAAACAAATCAAATCAAATGGAAACAAATCTCTAATGATGTCTTTTGGGTTGGAGCAGCCCTCAAATCTGGACCTAAAGTTGTCCCACAGCTGTCCCTTATCAGGTGTTATGACTGTGGTCATAATTTGTAGAGTGTCTGCTGTGCATGTGTGTGCCCTGTGCTTTTTTCTTTCAATCTCCTATGCAAATAGGTATGTGCCACAGCCGTGCGGTCATTGGTGGGTGGGTTTACATCCCGGACGAGCCTCCAATTCATGTTACGCCCCAGTCTAGGGGTGCAGGGCTACAGGCATTCCTCATCCTCCTCCTCTCCCAACCGGCCACACTGTTTGCTGCTTTAGACCATTGTGTATTTTGTAGTGTTTTCTTTGAGTAGTAGGGGTGGACTGCCAGTTTTGTTAACCTTATTTTCTCCTGTGTATTTTAGTTAGGGAGGTAAGTCTTTTGTCATTTGTTTCCTTTGTTTGGTTAGGTTAGTACTTACTCCACAGACAGGATCATTTTGGTTGTTGTTTTGGCCTTGGTCCACCCTGAAGCCTAATCACTCAGCCTTAGTTATTTTTCTATATCTTTCTGTTCATTTACTGATTTATGTAAATAAATCATTGTCTTTAAATTGAACCAAATCTCTGTTTGTGGCTACTTGGGACTTGGGGAAGATGAGGCCTTCTCATGTTGTGCCCTAGGCACCCCTAGACTGGGGCGTAACATGAATATTATCGTGGTTTCTGTTGAAATTTTTCTGAATTGGGGGCTCGTCCGTCTTCTTGTCGCGTTTTGTTTGGTGAGTAGTGGTGCAACGGATCATCACTGATCCGTGATCCGTTCGGATCGACGTCTTCGGTTCGGCACACACGTGATCCGCGGATTGATTTCTGAAAAAAAAAAGTTTTGCTCCGTCTGCACAAAGCTTTTGCCTAGCAGAGAAAGGAGGAGGGCAGACATGGCGAGCGGAGGAAAGGAGGAGCTTGAGCGCCCCGCGGGACTTAAATCCCCTGTATGGGAGCATTTTGGCTTCCCGGTCACTTATGATGGTAAAGGAAAGAGGTCAGTGGACAAAACTGCGACGGTGTGCAGGCACTGTGGCTTAAGAAAGCCACACGAAAGTGGAAACACGTCCAGCTTATTCAGGCATTTGAGGCGACATCACCCGGGTGTTGTACTGACCGGAGATAAACCAAAAGCTGCCCAACAACCGCTAATCACCGCAGCGTTTAAGCAGCCTCTTCCTGCACAATCTGACCGGGCTAAAGCGATTACAAATGCTATCGGTGTATTCATTGCCGTAGACATGAGGCCATATTCAGTAGTGCAGAATGAGGGCTTTCAAAACATGCTGAAGGTGCTGGAGCCGCGTTACGAAATCCCGTCGCGCACACACTTCAGTGAAAAGATAGTGCCAGATCTCTACGAGCGGGAGAAGAAAAAAGTTGTGGAAGAACTATCTCGAGCGTCAGCTGTTGCGCTCACCACAGACGGGTGGACGTCCAGGGGAATGGAGAGCTATGTGACGATAACAGCTCACTATATCACAGCAGACTGGGAGATGAGAAGTCCAGTGCTGCAGACACGGCCCCTCTACGAGAGTCACACAGGCGCTCATCTTGCGCAGGTACTGACACAAGCAGTTGAAGAATGGAAGATAAGGAGGCCCAGTACTAATATCCCAGTAACAACTGATAATGCAAAAAAATCAAATAAATGCAGTGAATAAGGCAGGACTGGGCCCACAGATAGGGTGCTTTGCACATGCAGTGAATTTGGCATCACAAAAGGGAATCTCAGTCAATAAAATGGACCGCCTCCTTGGGAGAATCAGGAAGGTGGTTTCTTACTTCCACCGAAGCACAACAGCTGCTCATATGCTTAAGACAAAGCAAGACATGCTACATCTGCCCAATCACAAGCTCATACACAATGTCCCAACAAGGTGGAACTCCACTTATGATATGGTAGAGCGTTATCTGGAGCAGCAGGCAGCTATATACTCTGCATTGACCGAGAAAACCCTGAAGAAAGAAAACATCATCACCCTGTCTGATGATGATGTGAGAGTGGCAGAAGAGGTCCTCCAGGTGCTTAAACCCCTCAAAACTGTCACATCTCTCCTGAGCACTGAAACTTCACCATCTGTGTCAATGATCCTGCCACTGAAAACAAGGATTCTGCAATCCATGGCTCCAAGTGTGGAAGACAGCGCCATCACACAAGATGTCAAGGCTGCCATTAGAGAGGACCTGATGCCCAGATACACTTCACCCCCTACTCTGCAGGACTACCTTCACAGAGCTACTGCCCTGGATCCAAGATTCAAATCCCTGTCTCACATGGACCCTGCCCTACGTCAGAAGACATACAGTGACCTCACCACTGAGATTGTGAGCCGTCTTGGTACTGAAGACTGTGATGAGGTAAAGAAAAAGAATATTATTTCAAAATTCTAAATGTAAATCTACATGCATTTTTTATTTTCAGTAAGAATGGCTTTTATTAAATGTTATTACCACATTTTTTATGACTATGAAACGTTTAAATAAATAATAGGTTTAATTAATCTACTTATTTTTTTCTGCAGGGTCAAGCTGCAGAGCCAGCAGGAGGATGCTTGGACACATCTCCTCCACAAAAGAAATCAGCGATGGCCGAGCTCTTTGGAGAGACCTTTGTCAGCAAAGAGATGTCCACCAAGGCTTCTGCTGACCTCATCAAAGAGGAGGTGGCATCCTACCAGGCAGCAGGTGGCATTTCAGTGGATGGTGATCCACTGACATGGTGGAAAACCAATGAATCCAAATACCCTTATCTTGCAAAGATGGCAAGATGCTGCCTCGCTGTGCCAGGATCTTCAGTACCATCAGAGAGAGTGTTCTCAACAGCAGGGGACATAGTTACTGCTAAGAGGTCCACACTCTCTCCAGACAATGTTGACATCCTTGTCTTTTTGAAAAAAAATCTGAAATTATAAGCTCAGGTTCTTTCACTCTCCTTGTTTTAAGGATGATGTCTTCTTATGTTTACCTTTGAGTTCTATTTTAATAATGGTCTTTTGAACCAATATTAAAAGGAGATATGCCTTTTTATGTTGCTGTTGCACTTTAAGTTGATTTATGGTTCATTGTTACATTTTAAAGGAAGGAGTTATGCCTTTATATTGCACTTTAAGTTGTTTTTCGTTAATAATTATGTTCAAAAGAAGTTATTATGCCTTGTGCACTACTTTTATATATTTTAATTTAATCATTGAAGTGTTTAATAAACAGACAAAAGTTATGTTTTTTTGTCTTTTTTTTTTTTTTTTTGCTTTTTGCTGATCCGAAAAATGATCCGATCCGTGACTCTTGATCCGAGGAACGATCCGATCCGTGAGTTTTGTGATCCGTTGCACCACTATTGGTGAGTATGTATTTTTCTGGTTGGTAGTTTTTTTTTTGGTGTGTGGGGGGAATTATGGATTTTTCACTGGATGATTTTATGGCCAGTCCCTCTTTTGCTAAAATTGAAAAGTGTAAAAAAGCAGACCTGTTGATTGTGGCAAATTACTTTAATGTACAAGTACCTTACAATGTCAATAGAGCAGAGCTCAAGCAGTTGCTGTGTGCACAGTTGGTGGAGCAGGGCGTCTTACCTAAACCAGTGCTTGATGCGGTTGCTGCGGGTGACGTGGCTAGTGTCGCACCGGGGGCTGAGGTGAAAGCGGCGGGGGCTGCTGGCACGCTCGCTGCTGGTGCGGAGCTTGGGCCGGTCGCGGATCCTCTCATGGGTACCATGACCACAGAGGATCTCCGCATAGCACTCCAAATAAAGGAGGCAGAGACCCGAAACAAACAGCTAGAGGTACAAGCCTTGCATCTGCGCTTAAGGGCTCTCGAACTGGAAAAAGGAGCCTTTGTAGCCTCTACCCCAGTGTCTCCTGTTGGCCGCAGCTCTGTTTCTGCTCCCGCTTTTGACATAAGTAAGCACATTGCTTTAGTCCCTCCGTTTCGTGAGTCCGAGGTGGACTCGTATTTTAGCGCTTTCGAGCGGATAGCTGCTGCCCTGAGTTGGCCTAAAGAGTTCTGGTCCCTTCTCCTCCAGTGTAAATTAGTGGGGAAAGCTCAAGAAGTCTGTGCCAGTCTGTCTATTGAGGATAGTCTTGATTATAAAATCTTGAAAAAGACTGTGTTGCAGGCCTACGAGCTGGTCCCTGAAGCATATCGGCAAAAATTTAGAAACAGTGAGAAAACTGCCAACCAGACCTATGTTGAGTTTGTGCGTGACAAGAGCGTTTTGTTTGATAAATGGTGCCACGCGTGTAATGTTAAGACTATGGCGGAAATGAGAGAGCTGATTTTGCTCGAGGAATTTAAAAAGTGTTTGCCGGAGCGAATTGTTGTATATTTGAATGAGCAAAAAGTATCATCGGTAACAAAAGCAGCTGTGCTTGCGGATGAATTCATTTTGACTCATAAAAGCGTCTTTTCCATGCCAACACCTCGTGTTTTACATGCAATGTCTGAGCGCAGAAACCGATCGCCAAAGCTGATGCGTAAAAGCACCTCACCAGCTGCGGGTGAGAGCCGCGAGTGTTTTTATTGCCACGAGCAAGGCCATTTGATCGCTGCCTGTCCGACTCTTAGGAAAAAAGGACAACACAAAAACGGTAAACCTCCTGCAGGTGTGGGTTTCATAAACACCGTGTCCCCGCCTGTAACACACCCGGAGTCTTTACCTGAAGCCGAGGTAAATGCAGAGGTTGACCCTTGTTTCAAACTGTTCATTTCGCACGGATTTGTTTCTTTAACTGGCGAGGTGGCGGATAAAGTGCCGGTAACTATTCTCTGAGATACAGCCGCCTATCATTCATTCATTTTGGCTAGTGTTCTGCCACTCTCAAATGAAACTTTGTGTTTTTCTGATTTGTTAGTGTGGGGAATTAAAATGAGCGAACTTAACGCCCCACTTCACATGATTCACTTGCATTCACCGCTCGCGTCGGGACGTGTGAAAGTTGCCGTGCTCCCACGGTTTCCGATTAGTGGCATTTCGTTTATTTTGGGTAACGATCTGGCCGGCGGAAATGTGTTTCCTCTGCCAGAGGTCGTTAACGATCCCATTTCGGTTGCGTCTGCCTGCTGCCCCACCTCTGTTTCTTCTGCTGTGTCTGTGCCAAATGTGTTTCCTGTGTGCGCAGTTACGCGCGCACAGGCTCGTAAATGGGGTAAAGCTGGGGATTTATCTGACTCGTTTATGGCTACATTAGATGAGGGTGAGCCCTCCTTTTCAGTGTCCCCCGCTACTGAGTGTGAAAATGTATCAAAATGTGTCTCTGAGCCTGATGTGTTTCCTGCTGACGCAGACCTGAGTTTAAACGTAACCCGAGAAATGTTGATAAGTGCTCAGAGAAATGATCCGTCTCTAAATTTGTGTCTGTCCTCTGTTGTAGCCGCCGAGGACGACAGCCAGTCTTGTGTGTTTTTCGTGGAGAACGGTGTCTTGATGAGACGGTGGAGTCCCGACTCCAGGGAGATACCCGTTGTTAATCAGGTGGTTGTGCCAACAGACTATCGAGCGCAAATTTTGAGTCTAGCACATGACTCCAGCTTAGCTGGCCACCTCGGTGTTAAAAAGACATATCATCGTGTGTTGTGCAATTTCTTTTGGCCTGGGTTAAAAACTGATGTTGCGAAATATTGCTGCACCTGTCATACATGTCAAGTTGTAGGAAAACCCAATCAACCTATTCCTCCAGCACCCCTGCATCCGATCCCGGTGCTAGGGGAGCCATTTGAACGAGTGTTGGTAGCTTGTGTGGGTCCGTTACCAAAAACTAAATCAGGACATCAATACATATTGACTGTGATGTGCGCTGCGACGCGGTACCCTGAGGCCATCCCGCTGCGCTCTCTCAGAACCAAACCAGTTGTGAAAGCCCTCACTAAATTCTTTTCAACTTTTGGCTTGCCTAAAACTATTCAGACTGACCAAGGTACAAACCTCATGTCCAAACTCTTCACACAGGTGATGAAAGAGCTAAAAGTTAAACATGTCACATCAAGTCCTTACCACCCAGAGTCCCAAGGCGCGCTTGAGAGGTTCCACCAAACATTAAAATCCATGATGCGCAAATACTGCTTCGAGTCCAACAGAGAGTGGGATGAGGGCCTCCCTCTTCTGTTATTTGCTGTGCGTGAAACTCCTCAAGAGTCTTTAGGTTTCAGTCCCTGTGATTTGGTTTTCGGCCATACGGTGCGCGGTCCCCTTCGGCTCCTCAAAGAAAAGTGGTTGGCAGAGTCGCCAAAACTTGAGCATAATGTGCTGGATTATGTCAGTTCTTTCTGTGAGCGTCTCAGCCATGTGTGTCAGTTAGCTCGTGACAATTTGGCACAGAGCCAAACTAAAATGAAGCATCGTTATGATAAAAAGTCTGTCCTCCATGTGTTCCAGCCAGGTGACAAAGTTTTGGTGTTGCTTCCACTACCTGGGTCCAGCTTGCAGGCTCGGTTTTCGGGTCCCTATACGGTGGAAAGAAAAATTAGTGACACCGACTATGTTGTTCACACACCAGATCGGAAACGAAAATCCCGAATATGCCACATTAATATGTTGAAACGTTACTTATCTAGAGTGAGTGATCCACCGCAGTCTCCCGCTGCGTCCGTGATGTCTGTGTCCGCTGCTCCTCCTCAGTATCATCTTGGTGATGATGGATTGGCAGAGAAAAGTGGTTTGATGCCGGCCGCTCGTTTGAGAAATTCAGAAGTCCTGAGTAATTTGGAGGGTTTTTTGTCCCATTTGGCCGATTTGGCCCGTGCAGATATTGTAGCTTTAATTGAGGATAACCTGTTGCTTTTCTCTGATCATCCCAGCCAAACCTCTGTCCTGTATCATGACATCGACGTGGAGGGCCACAAACCCATTAAGCAACATGCATACAGGGTAAATCCGACTAAGCGGGCCATGATGCAGAAGGAGGTGAGCTATCTGGTTGAACATGGTTTAGCAGTTCCCAGTACGAGTGCGTGGAGCTCCCCCTGCGTTTTGGTTCCGAAACCCGATAACACACCTCGTTTTTGTAACGATTACAGAAAAGTAAATTCAGTCACTAAAGCCGACTCCTTTCCTCTTCCCAGAATGGAAGATTGCATAGATCGTGTAGGCTCCGCCAAATATGTGACAAAGCTGGACCTGTTAAAAGGTTACTGGCAGGTTCCGTTAACACCACGGGCCTCAGAAATATCCACTTTTGTCACACCCGACACCTTTCTGCAATACATGGTCATGCAATTCGGGCTGCGTAATGCTCCCGCTACTTTCCAAAGGTTGATGCATCGCGTATTATCTGGTGTTGAAAATTGCGAGGCTTATTTAGATGATGTAGTTGCCTACTCCTCCACCTGGTCCGAGCATCTCCACATACTGTCCCTCATTTTCAGCCGTCTTCGTGAGGCCTCTCTCACGCTTAACCTTGTAAAGTGTGAGTTCGGAAAAGCCACTGTTACCTATTTGGGAAAACAGGTTGGTCAGGGGCAGGTGCGTCCGTTGGCCGAAAAAGTGCAAGCGGTTATTGATTTCCCGGTCCCACAGTCCAAGAAAGCGCTATGCCGTTTCCTTGGAATGTGTGGATATTATCGTGGTTTCTGTCTAAATTTTTCTGAAGTGGTGGCTCCTCTCACAAGCCTTGTAAGTCCATTGAAAGCTTTTGTTTGGTCTCCAGCTTGCCAGGCTGCCTTCGAGTCTGCCAAGGCGTTATTGTGTAGTGCCCATGTCCTGGCCGCGCCCTGTTTTTCGCGCCCTTTTAAATTGGAGGTTGACGCCAGCGTGTGCGGGGCAGGTGCTGTGCTTTTACAGGAGGATGATCAGGCTATTGACCACTCTGTTTGCTATTTCTCCAGAAAGTTTAATAAGCACCAGCTTAATTACAGCACTATCGAGAAGGAAGCTCTCGCCCTCCTGCTTGCCTTGCAGTATTTTGAAGTTTATCTCGGGTCTAGTTCGCAGCCTGTCCACGTGTACACATTAATATTCCTCGCCCACATGCGCAATTCTAACCAGCGGCTTATGCGCTGGTCTTTCTCCTGCAGGATTTTAACCTCCAGATTTGCCACAAGAAGGGCACAGAAAATGTAATTGCAGACGCTTTGTCAAGGTGTTCCTCAAATCTGTAGGAATTAAACATTTAGGGGTATGTTTAATTCTTGGGTGTGGGGGTGTTATGACTGTGGTCATAATTTGTAGAGTGTCTGCTGTGTGTGTGTGTGCCCTGTGCTTTTTTCTTTCAATCTCCTATGCAAATAGGTATGTGCCACAGCCGTGCGGTCATTGGTGGGTGGGTTATCCCGGACGAGCCTCCAATTCATGTTACGCCCCAGTCTAGGGGTGCAGGGCTACAGGCACTCCTCATCCTCCTCCTCTCCCAACCGGCCACACTGTTTGCTGCTTTAGACCATTGTGTATTTTGTAGTGTTTTCTTTGAGTAGTAGGGGTGGACTGCCAGTTTTGTTAACCTTATTTTCTCCTGTGTATTTTAGTTAGGGAGGTAAGTCTTTTGTCATTTGTTTCCTTTGTTTGGTTAGGTTAGTACTTACTCCACAGACAGGATCATTTTGGTTGTTGTTTTGGCCTTGGTCCACCCTGAAGCCTAATCACTCAGCCTTAGTTATTTTTCTATATCTTTCTGTTCATTTACTGATTTATGTAAATAAATCATTGTCTTTAAATTGAACCAAATCTCTGTTTGTGGCTACTTGGGACTTGGGGAAGATGAGGCCTTCTCATGTTGTGCCCTAGGCACCCCTAGACTGGGGCATAACACAGGTCTGCCTGAATAATTTCATGACCCAAAAAGGCTTTTCACA